GAGGTAGAGAGTTAATGGGATGAAATGGGATGATGGTAATGAAATGGGAGTGGGGGAAGTGTAAAATAAACAGAAGTAAAAAATAAGGAAGAGGAAGTAAATTTAAAGAAGATCACACGTTTTAATCAACTGAGATTTGGCTTTGCGGTGTGGGGGTGCTGGTCATGACTCCTTGGGTGGCTGGAAGGTGGGAGCAGTGAGGGAAGGCACTTTTAGGGGAGCTACTGCCCCTGCCCCGGAAGGAAGTCTTAGCTAATGGGGACCTTATCTGGTCCCCTAACTTGTTTCTCCCCCACCCCTCCCTAGACTCCACTCCTGGACCCATCCATGTCCTGCAGCCTGGCTAGTTGGCATGTGCTCTTCAGGCTGTTTGCATGGGGTTGCATCCCAGGGGATAGGAGGGGGAGGTGGCTTGGTGCCAGAACTGCTCCCTGGGCAGTAGAGTTCAGGGGGTAGAAAGTTTGTCCATACAGAACAGGAAGTTGTGGGAAGGCACACTGCATCCTGGGATGCCTGAGGATAGCAACTTGGGTGGCTTATCTCTAGGGAGCAGCCGCACATTAATGGAACACAAGATGGGTAACATAGATCAGAGACAATCCTGCACTGGAATGCTGTAACTTTAAGTTGCTTAAAACTAGTTTGAGTTTTAACTAGTTTGTTAATATATGAACAATCTAGGGGCTAAGAGCTCCAGGAGCTGCCCAAAATTAATGTGTAATAAAACCCTAAGACAGGATTAATTGTACCAGGCTAGTTTCTGTATGTCACATCGAAGCTTCACAAACTGCAGACATCAACTGGTCTTTTCTTTACATGATCAACATCCTGTATAGACATGTGGTTCTCAGCTTTTTTGGACATGAGGTGCATCTTAGAAAATGCCAGCTCCTAGCTTGCACTTGTGTTTTGACTGTGGAAAAATAATAGTGCAATTCTTCTGTTGCAGATTGCTCAGGAAAATTACAACAGGTCAGAATGTTTTTTGACACTTTGGCTTCCTCCTTGAAATTTCTGGGTTTATATTGTGAATCATGAGTAGGTATTGACACATCTTAAAGTGCTAATATTTCATAGATTTCATAGACATTAGGGCTGGAAGGGACCTCGGAAGATCATCGAGTCCAGCCCCCTGCCCAAAGGGCAGGAAGTCAGCTGGGGTCATAGGATCCCAGCAAGATAAACATCCAGTTTGCTCTTGAAGGTGTTCAATGTAGGCGCTTGAACCACCTCTGGTGGCAGGCTGTTCCAGACCTTGGGGGCTCAGACAGTAAAGAAATTCTTCCTTATGTCCAGCCTGAAACGGTCTTGTAGTAGTTTATGACCGTTCGACCTAGTCGTCATCCTTTGGGGCGCTCTGGTGAACAAACGTTCCCCCAGATACTGGTGGTCACCCCTGATAAACTTATAGGTGGCCATCAGATCACCCCTGAGCCTGCACTTTTCCAGGCTAAAAAGCCTAATATTGTACGGTGTCCAATGACACTCCTAAAAAGATCTCACTGCAGTTCAGGGCACTGTCATAGCCTGGTTGAGAATCACTGACATAGGTGCTCAGCAGCAGATCACACCTCTGTGGGACCTTAATACACTGGCTAACATAGGACCAAGCCAGTTCCGATGCCCAGTTTTTTTCCTTGAATATTAGGGGGAGATCCTGATGTGCTTGCACAGGAGGGAAGAGGGGAGTAGCACTGGCCAGAAAGCCACTCTACATATTAGGTGTGGAGAGTACCTGCCTCTATTTGTCTACTCTAGAATGAGCTATATTTTCAAATAACCACTTGTTGCTTCCATTTTTCAGGTTAATAGTTAAAATAATAGCCTTTTCCCATTTTTAAATCTAATTTTTCTTCCTTAGCAAAGCAGCCTTGGAAGGGGCAAACAAGCAAACAAACTAACTCCTGTAACAGGAGATGAGCCTTTGCACTGATACAGATGTAATGATTATAGCTAAGTTATAGAGCAGTTATTTTGCTGTGGCAGCTATTTTAAATCAGTTTTTATGGAAGATAGAGCTGGAAAAGGCCTACAATATTAGATATTATAGTGCCGCCAATTCCCCTGCAACCCTAGGATTTTGTCTCCAGGTAGATGTCTTAGAAAATATTAACTTGACAGTAGATATTCATAATAGATCATGAAAGACTAGTAACTGAAAAATGTAGTAGATCCTGGGAGCCAAAGAATTAAACCCAAAAGCTGATGCTGTTATCAAATTATTCTCATGTACCAGATTAAAAACTAAGGAACCCTTTTATCTTGACTTGGTTTTGTGTCTGTGTATGAAATAACTTCATTTGTACAATGCAGGCAGCCATCATTTTTAAGCTTGTAACTAGGTGTGCGCTGATAAAGATTTTTTTGGCCGAAATCATAGCTGATTATTAACCAGCCATATTGGCTGATACCGATCTGATAGCCGATATGCAGCCTGGCAGTGTGGAGAGCAGCGTCCAGCTGGTTAGTTTGTGGGGGATGCATACACGTGGTATTTACTGGTGACATTATCAGCTATACCGGTCAAAAAAAGCTGATTACTGACAACGTAAATTTTCCTTTTATTAGTGCTGATCCAGTATGGACTGATATATTGGTTCATCTCTACTTGTAACAGCTAACCTTATCTGAGAGTCAATAAAACAATACAGATTACCATGTCTCTCATATAAAATAAAAATTTCTTCAGTCTGATGAGGTAGGAAAATCCTTTTTTTCATCTTTCTTTTGTTCATCATATGCCTCATCTGCTGTTGTATTTCTCTGATGTTTTGGGCTATATCTGGTAGCTTTTCATTAATAATGGGCCAGATTCTGCCACCCTTGATTTAAATGGCACCTATTAAAATTAATGGGATTATTTAGGCACATCTACATGACACATTTACTGCGGAGTAGACTAATTAGCTCCACAGTAAACATTTCACATCTATGCATGTAGCCCTATTACGAAGCTAATTAACTCTGTAACAGGATAGTACTTGTAAATGCAAGTACTATCCTGCTGCAGACACACATGTAGGCACTGATGCAGCTGGCTGGGGCATGAGGTTGCTTCAGTGCAGGGGCTGCCTGCCAGCTAGCCCCACACTAGATCATTCTCGTGCCTGAGCCAGCTCCTCCACAGCACTTTGAGCTAGGTTGGAGCAGCCCTGCTCTGAGCCACTCAGCATACTGTGGTCCCAGATACACACATAAACATGGCACCTGGTTTGCCATTTTATGGCATCTTAAATTGGGTGAACGTGTGACACCCTTTTAATTTATGCCATGATTAACAAATTAATCATAGCATAAATGTAATGCGTAGAGGAGGCCATTTCCAGCATTGTCAGAGGAGCCAAAGGGAATTGGGTGCCCTATTTCTATAGGCTCTTTGAAAATCCCAAACCACAGTCTCTTTTGCATGCCTCAGTAATGGATTTGCCAAGAACAGTAGTTTGTTTCTTTCTAAAGTAATCCAAATGCTTTCTGTTTATAGTTTATTGCACTTTTTAATTATTGTAATTTTCTTTTTACAGTTTTTTCACTTGCTATATTAGAATATTATTTGTAGAAATGTAAAACGTAGTAAAGAAAGATTTATACAAGAAGTATGAATAAAAAATTCAAGGTTTCTCTGTCACAACACAGCAATAAAAAGACATTTCTAAAAAGCCTAATCTGAAAGAGAAAATATCAGTGTTTAAGCACTTTTGCTTGTAAAAGCTTTAATCTAAAATAAAGTATCAAATAAAGTAAGGAACTCACTTCTTTCCCTTTTTTCTCAATTCTGATAAAGTTTTTACAGGTGCCAAAATAAATTCTTATTGCCTTGAAGTTTGTCTTGTCTTAAAAATGCCATCTTAAAAGACAGCACGACTGAATAACGAGCCCCTAATTCTACATTGTTTTGCATACCATTCTCATGATCTGAGTATCCACACAGTTTGCAGCTGTGCATTAACTAGTTTGTCTAGCATCTGTCATCTCTGATTCATTCTCCATCTCATTCATTCTCCATCTCCTTCTCATCTCTGGTAGATGTACTGTTTCTCAAAATGATGTTTTACTATTTTAACTGCTCTTAATTTTGAGGCTATCTTGGTTTTGTACCAGACAGTCTGCTGATCTTAAACAAGGCTGGTATTGTAGAAGTAAAACATTTGTGAGATTTTCTAGCTTTAATTTCACATTGTGCTGTTTGAAACTTAGACTGGGTACGTTTAGGAATGAGTAATATTAACAGTTTTCAAACAGAGCTCCCCATTGATTTCCAGAGAAAGTTCTGCTTAAAACTTGATAATGCAGTATTACCCTGAATTTGGGCTATTCTATATTCAGATGAATGTAAAGGTATAACTAGAAAAGCTTTTTCAAGTCCCCTTTTTAAATATTTAAGTTTATTCCACAGAAAGTATTAGACCTAAAAATCCAATTAACTTTTCCTTATTGTGGAAAGGAGGAGTCACCTATTGTTATCTTCACTTGCTTGTCAAGTACTGGTTTGAAAAGGGAATATTTCACATCCCTGTCATCTCCATCCCCTCAGCTTTGTAGCATATTCTACTCTCCAGCATGCACCATCTACTGGGCACACCACCATACAGCAGGGGTCAGTAACATAAAGCCCATGGGCCTGATTTGGCCTGTGGAGCCACTGGACCTGGCTCACATAGCTGGATGGTTTTGCAGAGTGTAACAAAAATATGTCCATGCTGCTACTGCTTCCCCACCCTGCACTACCTGGTTGTGGCACAGACGTGGCTCCCCACTGGTTGGAAGCTATGCTTGAGCTGCTGCTGGGGAGTAGGGGGCTGGGAGAAATGGTGGCACTGCTGCTCCCAACTGTTTGGCCCTAGAAAGGAAGCAGGGAAAGCCCCCTACCACTGACGCACAGCCAAAGCCACCAAACCTGCATCAAACTGGAGCTATGTTCTGGTCCCTGGCTTGGTTAACATTGCTTGCTGCTGCCAAAGCGCATTCATAGGGAAATTTCTTTTAAAGAGGATTCTGGGGGCCACTTTGCTGTGAGATGTCTTCAAGAAAAGCCCTGCTGTCTGGTTGATGGAGAAATCAGAGTATTCTTTAGATCCAGTACTGCTGCCTCAAGGCCTCTGAAAAGGCCCAGTTTTGGGGTTCCCCACTGCAGAAAGGATGTCGACAAATTGGGAGAGTCCTGTGGAGTGCAACAAAAATGGTTAGAGGGCCATGGAACATAAGTAGGGGGATCTAGTGAAATCAAGGAGGCTGCCAGACTATTTTACGGGTAGACCACAGGGCTGGCAGCCATTTTCGCAGGTGGAGCATGGTGACACCCCCCTCCCTCATACCTCTGATTGGCTGAGGGGGCCCTAATGGCCCTGTCCCTCCCTGCTGATTGTCTGCAAGGGCTGTCTGTCATGTGGCCACACCCCTCACTGACAGTTGGTGGTAAGGGGCAGGGCCATATGATGGACAACCCTTGCAGCCAATCACCAGCAAGGTGTGGGGTGACAACCATCTCCGTGTGCTGCCAGGTCATCTCTTTGCTTCCCCCACCTGGCAGGATGCATGGCTGGGCCTACTGGCTTCCCAGAGGGAGTCAACATTTTATTTTTGGTAAGTTTGTTTTGTGTTTTTTTTTTCCAGGGAGCCTGCCCAACATGCAGAGCCTGTACTTTTTCACGGAGCCTGCCTGAAATTGCAGTTTCCATGAAAATGGCAACATGATTTCGGTAGGTCTCTGAATGAACTGACCCATGTAGACAAAGCCTTGGTTGGGATGATCTAGCTGTGGTTGGTCCTGCTTTGAGCAAGGGGTTGGACTATATCACCTCCTGGGGTCCCTTTCAATCCTAGTTTCTATGATTGTATGATTATATGATTTTGTAGAGTTCCACTCAATTGCCATTTTAAAATGGAAAAGGCATCCCAGAGAGCATGCACTGTGTTGTGAAATCCCTTCCCATGTCAGTTGTAAATGTAGCCCTGGGATCTCAAATCCTCTGCCCCCCCCCCCCCCCCCCCCCCTGCCGAGGCAAGGCAAGCAGTGCTGGGTGGATGGAGTAATTTGCACAGATTCTATTGGGTAAAGTAGTAGGCAGGCACATCTTTGTCTCTCTAAAGGATAACAAGGGCTTCTGAAGAGCAGAGACACCCAGCAAAAAAGAGAGCAGGTTTCTGGTTTCTTCTTCACACAGGTGGTATTGCTAATGGGTCTATTTTTGTGCACTGCATCTCTAATTAGGAGTTCACAGGCAATTTGAAAATACCTCAGAAAAAGGTGAATGGATTTAATAGTGTGTGTATCCCCTTCAAGAATGCCACAGTGTTGATTTAAAAACATATTTGTTGTATAACCTCATAGATTTCCTTGATGAACTGTGGTGGTTAATAAGCAAAAGAAAGCTTTTTCATGAAGAAGCTATCAGACAACTAGAGATGGCTTGTTTCCATTGAAAAGCCTGATTGATGGAAAAATGTCACCGCAGCAAAGAAAGATGCTAGAAACCAAAATTCAGTTCTTCATTTTTTTTAAATGTTCTGCTTCTGAATTACTTGCCAAAATAGCAAATTATTAAAGGTGTAGAATAGCTCTGATTTATGGTTACAGACCATTCTGTGAGGCTGAAATATCAATAACAGTTTAATGCCTACTAAAGAACTTATTTATTTAAGTGATTATTTCTTATGGAATGTACCAGAAGATAAACTGTGGAAATTACTAAACTGTGTGTGACTGAATGCTTCCTGACTGGTCTCTCCATTTCATTTAAGCCATTCATTTTGGAATCTATTCCATTGTAAATACAGATACTAGCATTATGCGATTAAAAAATAATTAAGTCGCTTTTACTGAGAGAATCAGTATGACATAAAAAATTATGTATTCTATCAAATTTTCATACATTTACTCAATTGAAATTGAGAGCCATGAATCCTACTTCTAGCTTAGAAAGTCATTCGGGACATTTCAGAATAATAATAATAATTTAAAAAACCCTTAAGGTTGTTTTTCTAGAGAATCATAAATGTAAAGAGAAGGTTAAGTATCTTGTTCTAGGGTTCCTAATGCCCTCTTTTGCTGCAGTGTTCATAGTCTCGAAAAAAAGGATAGTTTTATTTTTCTTCTGAGTACAATTATTTATCACATTCTCAGACACTTGATCTTACTTCTGTTCCTGTGGCGAAGGGTGTAGTCCTGTCTCAGTTCATCTCTGCAGCTGGTGTGCTGCAAAAATTGCTATCTCTTTTTTTGAGTGAGTACAGTACTTCCCTTCTGAAGCGGGGTGCACAGTACAGGTCTCAGTCCAGCCCCCTGCTTGAAGGTGTGGTATGGAAAAGGAGGATAACGTTGGGATGTACTTCTTAGCATGCTAACCCAAGGGTTAGCAAGGGGGATGGGTTTCTCCTTATCCAATTGATGTGATGGACAACAGTTTTCAAGGGCCAAAGGTAGTCATTTGGCCTGACAGCTTCAAAAGGAAAATCTGTGAAAGGGGAAATCCTGGCTCTGTGAGCTAAAGATCCTCTCCACTTTCCACCCATTTTGATGAAAAAGGTACAGTAGTGGACAGGAACTGAGACATTTTGCGCATCAGTTTCCTCATATTGACTAACTCTGCTGTGTCCCTGAACACTTCATGTGTTTCAGTGGCTGACTGTTGTTACCTTGACACTCTGCTCTGTACTAACAGTAGCCTCTCCTAGGTTCCAGCTGTAGCAGGATCCATTGCTCTTAAATCTGTAAAGGTCTGTCACGTGTAGGCTGGTTGCTCTGATCAATTGAATTTGCTAGCATTTGAAAATTCTCCTCTGTAGAGAAATGGAAAGAGTCGATTCCACTTGCAGTCACTGTCTCTGGTGCTGAAACTAAACGGGGAAGAGAACAACAATCCTGTGAGCTACTGTGTATGTCAGACACTTTGAACCACATGGCATCTGAGAAACTGAGCATGCTGGAGTACAACATTGGAGGATAACATATTGTCCCCTGGAGTTAGATCTGACCTGCATCTGTGTAAGCGCAATCAGTAGAATTACATTTACAGGGGTTTAACTGATCTAAGAAACAGGAAAGTTACTGGTGCTGCCCAGTAGGGCTGTGCATAACAGCACCCTTTCGTTTCGACTTCTGTTTCAACGTTTCAATGGGACAGTTTCACTTAGAGTTTCATTTCATTTCAAAACCACTGTTCTGTTTCATTTCGTTGAAACTGTTTTGCTGTTTCGACGTTGGTTTGACATTTCACCCATAGGCTATAATGAGGAAGCACGAAATTGCCGATAACTTTGTCATTTCTAGCCTGCTTTGGATGAAGCTTGCAGCCCCTGCTGAGGCCATGATGTCTGCCAGGTTTCATGGAAATAGGCACAGGAGTTTCTGGGAAACTGCACCTCAAGCTGCTGACAAGCAAAACTCATGACATGGGTAAAACTGTGTGTGTGTTGAGGTGTGCCCTCACTGGCGCTGGGACTTCTACATGACATGATAGTGTGCCCCATGAGGTCTCCTCCTCCCCTAAAGCCTCAGCTCAGTCCACCAATTTAAATGACAACAGGTAATAAAATTACTTAGTGAGCAGCAGCACAGTAGCACCAGCAGCATCTCAGGCAGCCAAACTGACACAGCCTTTCTTTCCTCTCCTGTAGGAGCTTCTTCTCCAGCAACTGCCAGAGAACTGTCCCTGCCAGAACCCAGCTCTGGGGCTTAGATGTGCCCAAGGCCCTGTGTCCCTCCAGTCAGGTGCTAGGGGTGTTGGTCTAAGGGCATGGCACTAGCAGACAAAGTCCATTGGGTCAGTCTAATCTGGTATCTTTTAGCAGACCAACTGAATAGAGAAATATATCTTAGCAAGCTTTTGGGTTGAAAAACCCTTTGTCAGGCTGAGTAAGCACCTGTAGGTGTGTGTGTATGTGTCTGTGTGTGTTGTTCCCAGATGGAAGGAATAGTAAAGAAGCCAGAGGCTGGCATGCAATGCAGGCAAGAAAGCCAGTCAGTGAAAATGGAAATGGAGGCATCAGGGGTGAGGTACAGGCTGGGATGGGGGGAAAGGGGGATGTAGCAGCGCAGGTAAAAGCGGAGAGGCACCCGGGGAGTCAGATTACCGGCAGGTTGTAGTGTGTCAGAATTCAAACCAAAAATGGTTTGTAAATTCAAACAAGCACTGAACCTTGCTAGCCTCATCACCAGAAGCCAACTTCCTACAGCCCAAAATACACTGAATGGATCAAGGCCATGCAATGACAAGACACGCAAAACCTGCCAACAGTATCTCCAGTATGGAGATATCTTCACAATACAATACATATTTCCATCAGGGCACCAAGTGCCCTGATGGAGAATACATGGAGACACCAAGCAACAACCATGCACCAGAATGAGCGCACACTGAAAATTTATCAAAGACAACAACAAAACACCACCTGTCTCCAAACTCTCAGGCCTGGTCCTCAAAGGGAATTTACAAACCACTTTTCACAGATGAGCCTATGAACTGCGCTTCATCAACCTCCTAGGTACAGAAACTCATGGACTCAATATAGACATTGGCCCCATTGTCGGTGACCATGAGCCTGTGGGTGAGCTCGCCCTGCCCAGTGAGCCACCCCTGTACCAAATAGCTTATGGCCCCCATGATCTCTGTTGCCGTGTGTGACTCATCCATCACTTTGGCTTGAAGGAGATCCCACCAACAACCTGACTGGCCGCATCAGTGCCCTGTGAAGGAGAGGTAGGTATGATCTCCACCCCAGCTGCTCCACATGTCCGAGGTGAAGTGTAAGGCCACCTGCGGACCTGCCTTGCACAGCTGCTCCCTCAAGTGCTCACTATATGACTCATACAGGGAGGGCACCACCGTCTTGCTGAAGATGGTGCATGCAGGCACTTGGTAGGATGGAACCACAACTGCTGTGAGCCACCTGAACCCTGGTCACTCAACTAAGGGGAAGGGCTGGCCATCAACAGCAAGCATTTCCCCGATGCTCTGGGTGATCTCCCTTGCCCTTGCAACATGCCCCCCTTTCTGTCTACCTTTCCCCCCCTGTTCCAGGGTGGCCTGCCTCTGGTTTGGGGGGATGGGGGCTTTGGAGCAAGAGGGGGACTTCCATTTGGGCATGCTCTGGCTGGTGCCAGACTGAGTATATGCTGAGTGTATCAGCATCCCCGTGGTGCTCATGTCTTTTGTTCACTTGCCCTGGCTGGGTTTTGCTTTGCAGTGCAGGCGGATAGCATATGTGGAATCATCTGCCAGCTCAAAATGATCCCAAACCACACTACCTGCTCACTTCTGGGGTACAGGTGCATGTGTGGATGCTGCAATTTCCCCCTCCTCAGCAGACAGAGGCACAGCAACAGGAGGAGCAGACTCTGCTGAGCCGCTTGCCTGTGCAGCTCTACCTCAGCCTCCTCTGAAGTGCCTTCTGGGGAAGGAGACCTGGCTCTAGGGGAAACTTGAGGGGTGAGGAGCACAAACTCAGATGATTCCCCCTCCTTCCCCAGAATTTCACTTGCTAGGGCACTCAGATCCAGATCCAGCTCTGCCTCTGGCACTGGAAGGCTTAGTATGGGAAGTGAAATGGGGGTCTAGGAGACTGTCGTGCTGGTGCTGGTGCTTGTTGTGATGGTAGGTGGTGGGGGTTATGACTGGTGCTGTTGGAGGGGATGCAGTCTCAGGCACAGGCAGTGGCACTGCTCCTCTCTCTTTGCTGCTTCTGGAAGCCTCATCTCTGCTAGTTGTAAGAAAGAGGCTTCCTCTCAGTTTGCGGGGAGGGGGACTTACACCTCTCCCTCAACTGCCTCTTCTGCCCCTCCCTGCAGGCTTGCCAGCTACTTTTCCACCACGCTTCATATTGTGTTTCATAGTATCTTGTTTTTATACAAATATATAAATGTATCTGTGTTCTATAGTGTTCTGTGTTCTATAAATTCTATAGTTATATGCTGCAAGATATAAATGTATAGAAATAAATATATATATGTATCTGCCTTTGTATATAAATTCTATAGTGTAACATCCAATATAATTATGAAATTGAAAAGAATAAATCAATGAATATAATAATAAAAGGGTCTAGAAAGAAAGCAAGAGATATTGTGGATTCCCACTTGCTAGGTTAGCAAGTAGGAAATCAAATCAATGGTACTAGTAGCCTTTGTTATCTAACACTCCTGAGCTGCTGGAAGATAACTCAGTAACTGTCAGACTCCAAGGCAGAAAGCAGGCCAGTACAAACAATGCTGCCTTTCATGCTGTTTTTCCATCCCTCCCCCAGAGCACTGGGATTGGAAGGGACCTCAGGGAAGGATCACAGTCACTGGCCAGCTACACAGTCAATATGAGAGCAGTCCTTCCCCTCTCTTCCCCCTCCCTCTCCTTACTTTGTTTCCCTGCAGGCAGGCCCAGCTTGAGCTTCAAAACTCGAAACTTTCAAAACGTTTCAACTGCCCTCGTTTCGTTTCAAAGCTGTTGTTTCGAAGCCCTTCATGCTGTTTTGATTTTGCTGTTGTGTTGAGCTCGAAACAAGTCAAAACAGTGTCAAAATGAAACAGCTGGTGACATTTTTCACAGCATTACTGCCCGGTGCCCACCTGCCTTTCCTTGGGCTTTTTGCAATGTGCTCTTTGTTATTATAATGAGGCAGTTACAGCAGAGATCTTCAGTAATCATAGACCTATCTTCCAGGTCAACACAGGCAATCGCTTCTCACTTTGGTGCCTCTTTTTGATGTGCAAAAAACTTTATAACTATGTGCAAGCAACACCAATATATTATTCCTGCATCACTTGGCTGACCAAACTTTTTTAACATATGATATCATTAGTATCTTCATTAGCCATTGTCAAATGTAATGCAAATCATTGCTGTGGGCAATACAGAGAGAATATGGCAGAAGAAAAATAACAATGGAGGAAGTATTACTTCTTTACATACCAGAGAAATGCTGTAGTGGAATATATGTGGTGTTATATGTTAAATATAGAGAAAAGTACAAGTCATTTTGATGAAGTAAGAAGCATTTTTGTTCTTAATGGAATGTGATTTTTGTTGTGTCTATAATACTTTAGTATAAAATATGAAGAATATTTTTTAAACTCTCAAATACTTATGTCTGTCATACCTCAATTTTCTGCCGCATTCTGTGGGCATGTGAATATTTTCAGCATTTCCGTATTTTCTCATCTGTGGAGAAAAACAAGATTACTCAAAAAGTGCTGATCCTGAATACTCTTTAACAGCACTTGCAAGTGCTTATTTCCCTGTGGCCAGCCAGTAGGGGGAGCTCCTGCATTGAGCCACCCACCTCACTGCGCCCGACCACCTTCCAGGCTCCGAGTGCCTCCCTGGGGGCACCTCATGTCTGGCCGACCCCCTTCCTGGAGCACACCCACTAGCCTGAGGGTTCCATTGCCACCACCCAGGGCTCTGGACTGATTCTGGCTCTGTGCACCCTGGGAAACACAGGCCTAGTAGCCCTCAAGGGTACTTGATTCACTTCAAGAAGTTGGGATGCTTCCCTCAGTCAGAAGTACAAGTAGTGGTCTCCCTTAGTCAGCCGAACCAAGGGAACCCCAAGGCATAATCTAGACCCACTCCCAGTAAGTCTCCCACACTAGGTACAAAGGAGAACTTTATTGGTTACAAGGGGTAGGATTGCAATAGGGTACAGGGTAGAGCAATATCAGAGAACTCTCATAGAGCAAACTGGCATGGCTGGGTAGCCTTTGATCACGCATCTGAGTTACTGCAAGCTATATATCTAGTTAGATCTCAGGTAGCTTACTCACGAGTATCATCCAGAGGCAGGTGGAGATTCCCTCTGGAGGCAGGCAGTTCCTTGATCATGAGTTTTGAGAGAGAGAACTAGTTTCAGGTGGTATAGCTCTTCTCTTTCTCTGAGTCTCCCTCATGGCTGCTGCCCCCTCCTCCTGGGCAGTCCTTAACTTATATAGCCCTTGTGACCTCATTTACCTGGTCCAATGGAGGCCAGCACCTGTTGGCTGTCAGCCAACCAATTTGAAATACATGACTAGTTGCCGGGCAGACTGTAGCCCACCAGGGAGGAAGCTCCTCACCCAGGTACGTGATACTAGTCTCGTTTCCCCCTCCCTCAGGAATGTATCCACCTCAGGTTACCTAAAGAGATAGGGTAAGGTGTGTCTCCTCTGCTGGGCCCATACTAACCAAATTGTCACAGAGCAGAGGTTTTTGGGGAGAAACAAAGGTGGCTTTCTGCCATAGGGTATGTGAATATTTTCAGCATTTCCATATTTTCTCTGTGGAGAAAAACAAGATTGCTCAAGAAGTGCTGCTCCTGATCCTGAATACTCTTTATCAACATTTGCAAGTGCTTATTTCCCTGAAATTAAGAAAGGAAAAAACACCTAAATTTCAGGTTCACAAAATAAATTAGAAAAGGAGCAGTCTTTAATTATCTCCTTACTGACTGCTTCACTGTTTGACTTGTTCACTGCTCTTACAAGGAAAGCAAATCACATTCAGATTTGGTTAATGGTTGTAGTGTATGTCAACTGCAATATGCTTATAGATCAAAAAATAATTGAAATAATCAAATATTGATGCTCCCTAATACTTACTGGTAACTAGTATTACCCTAATTAGTGTCAAATATAACTAACTTCCCATTTTCATATTAACTTTATTAATGTTTTATTATTGAATAATTTGAGTGGCAGGCTAATTTAATTAACTGCAAGACTTTGAGATGATCATTACATATAAAGTGTGAAATATGTCAAATATTGATTTTAGGATCATCAAACTGAATGAGGGAGCAAATTCATCGCATGCAGTGAGGAAGACAGTAAAAGAACCTATTTTGGATAGTACAGAGTTTGCTTTCACTTGTGTACAATGCACATATCCTGTATTTTCACCTACTTTTCATGAATGAGTACTATCATTTTCCCCAGATCAGCAAGCAAATTTGATGTAATTTGCTTACAAATATCATATTCCAGTTGTTTCTAAGCAATTGTATGCACTTAATTTGGTAACTCTAAAACAGACTATACAGTGTACTGGTGCCCCAGATTTCTTCAAGTATTACTAGTCAATTACCAGCATGTCTACTCAGTGAAATTCCACAATTTTTTAAAACACACATGATAATACTGGTAATCTCCTTAAGCCTTTACCCCTTAGCAAAATAAAAAATGAGATAAAATTGAAGGAACCAGAAAAAAAAACTTTTAGGTTAAGTACAGACAATCAAAAAGCCCAAAGCTGAATCAACTTTCCAGGTTAGTCTAAACTGGGTAGATTGAACCAATAAGGAAGGGAACAAACATTCACTTTTGATTCTGGAAATGCAGCCACATGCCTGCATTGGCTCAGGCCAGAAGCTGGGGGTGCTAGAGCACACCTTCCCTTCCCTTGGCAGTGGCTGGAAAGCTGGAAGGAAGCTGGGAGAGAAGCCTGCAGAGGTATTTCCCCCTTTCCTGCTAGAGCTGAGGGGGAGTGGGGCATAGCCAGGCCCTGGCTGATCCACTGAGTATGATGGTGGAGTTTAAACCCCAACCCTGGCCTGCACAGAACATAGCCAGGGTGTGCTGTGGGGTGGGGGTGGGGGGGGGCAGGGAGGTGTGCAGTCTCTGCCAGGCTTTTCCCTTACTCTCTGCTTGAATGGAGGGGGGGAGGGAGGCATGGCCAGATCCTGGTCCGGGCCAGCATTCGGGGGGGGGGGGGCGTTAAAACCCCCCTGACAGGAGCCCCTGACAAGCTTTTCTCTGCTCTCTGCTTGAGTGGAGAGCATAGCCAGACCCCAAGCTGGGCTGGCACAATGAAGTGAGGAGGGGGAGGGGGGGTTTAAACACCCTCCCTGCCTGCATGGGACCTCAGCTGGAGTCTGCTCCTCCCCTGCCAGGCAGACCCCTGCTGGGGTATTATGCAAGTTGGGAAGGAAATTTAAATCCCCATCCCACCTCTCTGCCTCATTCTGCCAGTCCTACCCAGGGTTAGACCACACCTGCCCCTACCCCTGCTCGAGCAGGGAAAAATCCTGGCAGGGTCTGGGCTGCTCTGCCTCTGCCAGGCAGACCCCAGCTTGGGTCCTATGCAGGTGGGGGAATAGGTTTAAACACTCCTCCCTCCCCTGGGCATCAGCGTGCCATGCCAGCCCAGCCCAGGGTCTGGCCATACTCCCTGCAGAGCGGGGAACAGGGGAAAAGCCTGTCAGGGGCTGCACTGCCCCTGCCAGGCAGACCCCGGCTGGAGTCTGGAGCCAGGTTTCCCCACCACCACCCACATCTCAGCCAGCTGGAGCTGTGATAGTACTCTGCCTAGGGAGCAGAGGACTGGGGCCAACTGGAGCAGATGGCACAGCCCAGTATTGCAAAGCATCCTGGGATGCTGGGGAACTGTGAGTTAACTTGAACTGGAAAGGGGTCTGGGACAGAAGTTCAATAAATTGGTTTGACCTAAATCAGTTTAGTCTGATACTACATCCAACCAGGTTTGTCTTAAACTAGTTCCAGCCATTTTGAAAGCAGTTTAAGTGCAGTGAACTTCTGTTGTGTTACAGATTTGAACTGGTTTCTGACCACTTAAATTGGTTTATGTATAACTTTTGTCCCTAGCCTTAAGGTGTAAATAGACTGGATGCAATGATATTTAAGAGATACAGTTAACAAACTTTGTGTTTGCGGTGGTGTTTGTGTTTAATAAAATACTACTGTATGGCAGACAGCAAACCTTTTTTACAAAGTGCTTTAAAAGTGTCAGGATGTGCAACTCATGCAGTTGTGACGTTTAGAAACTGATCTCTTCTTTGGAGTTGTAAAATGTATTGTAAGAGTTTTGAATACTTGAGAGAATTAAACCACTCTTAAAACATTCAGTGCCCAAATCTTGCACCGGATAGCATAACACATACCGCTTTGACATTTCTTCCAGTGCTGAACCAGCATGATTTTAGCTGACTATCTTCCCCAGCCATCTGGTAAAATACTGTGAAAGAACTTTACAGGGACTAATTATTTTCTAGATTAATATTGCTGACAAGTATTTCAGGGCATAGTGTGTGTTTGAGGGGTGCTATGCTATTAGAAAAGCCATTAATTATTGTGTCTGTGATCGCTGTGACTCCCTATGTTGGCATTCTGCCCCTACATCACCATCTGTGTACAACATTCCTATATCACAAACATAGTCTGTCATTTACTTCAGTTCTCTCTCAAGGTTTTTGCATTTGCAGATCGAAGACGCTAGATACTATCCAAATTCTGCCTGATCTTGTCTCTTTTTTCCTCTGAGTATGACTAGACAAAAAAAAAAAATCCAATGATAACCCCTTAGATTTTTTTTAACTTCCTTAGTTGTATTGACTTGATTTATAAACAGAGAAAAATTGGTAGCTTGGCAAAGATTACAAAAACTTTAATGTGGCAGTTTTTGCTTAATTCTGGTGTATAATAATTTACTTTCCAAAACACAAACCTGGTATAATTCCAAATTTAGTCTGATTAAAAGAAAATATTGTTCTTTCTTGTATAAACTGATAAAGCTCTCATTAACAACAATGTCCAGATTAAAATGCCAGTAGGATTTTTTTTGACCGTCTCTGCTACTTGCTGTAGCTTCAAGGTCTTTTGACACCTAAAGTGTGCAAAAACAGTCTGATCTAGGACACTTCTGCAGGTTCTTCTGTTCTTGAAACAGATGCCCTGCCTTATTTACTGTAAAATGGGACATTCACCCAGTGGGGCGACACATATGGTCTAACACGTATGACCTATATACACTGTGTAAAATAAAATCTCTAAGTGAAGATGTGGAGAGGGAGGGAGAGCTATGTGGTACTTAAGCAGAATAAAAATATTAATTGAACACTTTACTGGAGGGTGGGGATTTCAACTCAAAGCACATTTTAAAGATGGGCAACTTGGTAAATGGGAGTTAAAGGACTGTATTTCTCACATATAACATGGTCCCCATATTTTAGTCTCCAAGGGGGAAAAAATCTCACCTTTGAGTAAGTACCAGAGATCTGGTGTCTCTGGGGCTGAGGGTGATGTACTAAGGCCCAGTCTGGAACGCTGGGGCTGGGAGCTGCATGAGGGGCCCTTATCTTCCCAAATCGGGACCAGAACATACAACTCTTGTTGACAGACTTTTAATCTGTACCCTAGACTACAGCTGTTCTCCTTCACAATCAGCAGCAAATTGATGCAAATGAGGAATTTAAAATCAAATTCCTCCATAAATCTAGGTACATCACAAAAGGAAGATTCTTGCAGTTGGTCAATAGATAGACTTCAGATTTAAGATGGTTATTGGGATAACAGCTGTAGATGATATGCCTACATTAGTTAGTTTCTCACTAGAGGTGATAAGAAGTACATTGACTCTTACTCTTTTTGCTTTTATTAATAAACTAGCAAATTGCCCGTCAAGAATGATGGAGAGGGGCGGGGGGG